GGAAGCAGTAATGGCTACTCTGAAGATATCGTTCCCTGTTGAACAACGTATTTTTATGTTTGAAACATATCGAAACAAAATGCCCTATGCAGATACGGAATCTCTTCTGTAAACAGTTTGGAATTAACACTAAAGACCGTAAGAAAATACCAAGTAAAGTAACAACACGTAAGTGGTTGGCTGACTTCAAGTCAAATGTCTCTGTTGAAAAAAAAAGCTAGAGATAAAAACTAGGGTCCTTCCCAGTACTGTGGGTGACCGATGCACGTGTGCACTCCCGAAAGTGTTGCAGTGGTGCTGGAGTCTGTTAGCAAAGCACATAAAAAGTCATTTCATCGTCATAGTATTGAATTACCTATTGCTAGAGAATCTGTTTGGAGTTTAAACCGTACAATATCCAGGTCCAACCAAAGGTTCAGCAAATGGAAAATGTCAGACAATTTTGTCAAACGCCTCAGAGCGTGTATCGTCCGAAAGGAACGTCACCTGGAGCATGTGCTCTAACTTCCTTAAAATTTGGAATTTTTATTTGAAAATTTGTCATGATAAATCCGGATGGTGAATAAATACGTCTGTGAAAGTTTGTGTCTCTATTTCTATTTTAACCGTTTTAAGGGTGTCTCCGTGGGTAAAGGTTTTTTGGGGTCACCTGAACACATATTCAGACGTCTAAGCATTCTAACAGTATCAGACAACCCCCATCCACGTATGTGGGGCAAAAAATTGTCCATTTGCCGTTGCAAATTTTTAAAAAGACATCCTTCGGTTTGAGCACACCTAGGGTAACCAACAGTTTATCAAGTATCTCTGTCTTTCTCCTAGGTTGCTATAATGCACTCAGCCTGAGAGTGCGGTGACAACAGGGCCGAGCAGCCAAGCTCATTAATTATCCATGAGAGGCGTCGTGGGGAAATCAGGCGCTCATCAAAATAATGAAATCGAAGAAACTAGAATTTTTCTGTCCGTTTGGTAATTTTCATCGAATTTTTGTTTTTTGACACAACACCTTTAAGGTCCATTTAAAAACGCATTACTGTGTGGATTTTACGTTAGAAATGTTGATTTAAGGCACAAAAATGAAAATGTGCAGTTGCTTAGGGCTCTCAAGTTTTGAAACCAGGCGACTCCCACCTTCTTCGAAAGCAAATATCTCCACCTCTATTCCACATAGAAGGATTTTTTCCACCAAAAGGAAGGCAAAAGAACAGGCTTTAAGACGATACCAAAAATCCCATATGCCCAAAAATTGACGAGCGCCTATTTCCACCGCGTGACATAAATGAGTTCATGGGATGTATAACACTTACAATCAAAACAGGCATCCCCCTCCAAACCCTATCAACCAGAAGAAAGTAACCACTGAACCAACACCTCTGCTTTTTTGCGCCCCAACATAACATGTATACCTTGGCATTAAACATACGCCCCAAGGTGGAGCTGCGAGAAAGGGGTCCTTAATGGCTGGTTATTAGGTCCAAAAATACCCCCCC